AGGTCTAAATATGCCGAAATTAAACGTTAAAGTAACAGGGATAACAATTTAAGAGCCCACAAATTAAAATAAGTACCTACGTGCGTTAATATCCAGGTCTAAATATGCCGAAATTAAACGTTAAACAGAGATAATGATTTAAGAGCCCACAAATTAAAATAAGTACCTACATGCGTCTCTTATTGTAAAGTCTGATACTTACAAAGATATATACATTATTATATAATTGATCATTACCAGAATTAAATACTTATAAAAAATCATTCGGTCAATTTTTTACCAGATGTCTCAAAAATAATGAAAACAGCTATAATCATTAGATCCTACTCTAATTTGCTTGGGACATATTAGCTGAAAGATAGAATTTCTGCCTCCAAACGTAAGAACGAAATGTCATATTTTTAATATTCATACGGTGAGAATGATATTATCTAATGATATGGATCTTGAGGAATTTGTAATGTCTAAAGGTGATTTGAGTAGTGCTGTGATATGGATTAACTGTTAGAATACAGGTCTGGCCAGTGCCATGCTTTTCTTGCCTGTGTGAAGGTCATCTAGTTAAAATATCAGAATGTGACTTAATGTTAATCTGCACTTTACTTAATTATTTTGTTATCATATTTTTGTTATTCTTTTCAGCACAATTTATTTTGTTATTATACTTTTGTTATTTAAACCTAGATATTAATACGTACGTATATACCTGCATATTTAAATTTAGACTCTTAAATCATTATCCCTGTTACTTTAATGTTTAATTTTAGCATATTTAGATCTGGATATTAACACACATAGGTACTTATTTTAATTTGTAGGCTCTTAAATCATTATCTCTGTTACTTTAACGTTTAATTTCGGCATATTTAGATCTGGATATTAACGCACGTAGGTACTTATTTTAATTTGTAGGCTTTTAAATTGTTATCCCTATTACTTTAACATTTAATTTTAGCATATTTAGACCTGGATATTAACGCATGTAGGTACTTATTTTAATTTGTGGGCTCTTAAATTGTTATCCCTGTTACTTTAACGTTTAATTTCAGCATATTTAGACCTGGATATTAATGCACGTAGGTACTTATTTTAATTTGTAGGCTCTTAAATTGTTATCCCTGTTACTTTAACGTTTAATTTCAGCATATTTAGACTTGGATATTAATGCACGTAGGTACTTATTTTAATTTGTAGGCTCTTAAATTGTTATCCCTGTTAATTTTAACATTTAATTTTTGCATATTTAAAACCTGGTTATTAACATATATACTTGCCTTATTTTAATTTGCAGGCTCTTAAATTGTTATCTCTGTTAATTTTAACGTTTAATTTTTGCATATTTTAGACCTGGTTATTAATATACATACTTGCCTTATTTTAATTTGCAGGCTCTTTAAATTGTTATCCCTATTAATTTTAACATTTAATTTCTGCATATTTTAGACCTGAATATTCGACACATACCTGCTTATTTAAACTCTGATATTAATGTATGGACTTAAATTACAGTTCCTGTTGATTTTAAGTTTAATATTTATATTCATATCTAAATATTAACATACGTACATATGTACCTGCACATTTAAATTCATATATTAATATGTATACAGATTTAAATTACGATTCCTGTTAATTTTAATATTTAATCTCTGCATATTTAGACCTGGATATGCATATTTAAACCCGAATATTAACTTATTTTTGGATATATGCTATATATGCTGTATTATTAAATTTATTATTAAATCTAGATATCATCTTTAAATCCTAATTTAAATGGTCAATTTAGTTCACTGTTTCACGATTGATAAACTAAGACAGAAGTTTTCGTGTTATTTGTTGATTTTATAATTTTATTTCTTATTGGTTATTATCTGAAGCTTTTATGTTATTTCTCCTAAAAATTTTAAAAAAAAAGTATTTGAACAAAGATTTAATAAAAATGTGAATTCTCTATTTTACAAGTAATACGATATAAGATGCAAAGCTCATTATTCTAGCTATTCTGAGAAATAAATCGTATCTAATATATATGTAATATTTTTTAAGTCAATGAAAGCAATAAAGTAGCTATCCTAGTGGTATATATGAAACCTGAATAAAATTATAAGAAAATTTTAAATTATAATTGTTAAATAAGTATATATACGTGTATCATTTGGCGGGTTATAGCTTTAAATTTTTTTTTAAAAAAGTTCTCAGTATTATTTTTTTTAAAAAATGTCAGAAAAACATTCAAATTATTCTAATTCAATCAAACATTCAAATAAAAAAATGAAAGCTCTAACTAAAAGTAAATATTCTAAAGTAAATTAGATTTGGAAACACTTTAAAGAAAGTATAAATGGGGATACTCCTGTTATTGTTTGTCAAGAAAAAAAAGATGATGATACTATATGTGGTATGGAATATGTCTATTCTAGCAGGTCAACAGGAAATGCAATTACCCATCTTAGGAACTTCCATGAAATAAGTAACAATGGAAAACTTAAGGTTTGTAATTAATCTATTACTATATTTGTTAATGCTTAATATATTTTTAATTAATAAACAAATCTTAATTTAGAATAACAAACAAATTCTATCTAAAAAAAAAAATCCAGAGGCCCGTCAGATTCAACTACGACAATCTCTTACGATCTGGATAATAAATGATTCACAGCCTATTCATATTGTAATTAATAAAGAATTTCATAAATTTATTCATGACCTTGACCTAGCATTCATAATGCCATGTATAGAAACTGTAAAAAAAATAATCTATATAGCATATGACTATAGTTTACCCAAGCTCTAAGAAAAATTAATTAGCGAAGCTATTTCAGTATCATTAAGTATAGATTTGTAGACAGCTTGCAGCTGCCAAGGTTATCTTGGTGTAATATGTGCTTTTATTAATAATAATTGGAAATTATGTAAAATGGTCCTCACAATAAAATATATTTAATATCCACATATAGCAGAACGTATAAATAAAGAATTAAAAGATATTATGCATGAATGGCAAATTCAAGATAAAATATTTATAATTACTACGGATAACGGTCGTAATGTAAAAAGAGCCATATTAGATATAGAAGGAGTTAACTGGCTAAATTGTATAGCTTATATATTGAATCTGGTGGTTCGAAAAGGGCTAAATTCAACAACAGTATTAATTAAAAGAGTTAAACGATTAATTAACTTTTTTAAGAGGCCTAAACAAAGTGAACTTCTTGAGGAAGTCTAAAGAAAATTTCCTGAAATTAACCAAACAAATGATTTAGAAAATGAAAACGATAGTGATAATAATAATAATCATATTGAGGTAATATATGTATCTATAATATTTAATTACAGATTAGTGTATTTATATAATTAATAACTTTAATATATATATATATATATATTCAAATTTATCAGAGTATTAATAATCTTTCTGAATTCTTACATGTCATCGCCAATTACCCTACACAATAGAATTCAACTTATCTTGCTTAGAATCAGCTCCTTAAACTAAAAGATCATATTAACCTTCTTGTTAACCTTCTTTCAACTAAATCTGATTCTAATACTAAAAAAGATTTTAAATATCTAAAAAAAATTTTGCTTACTGATAGTGAATGGATTACAATTAATGAACTTGTAAAAATTCTTCAACCCTTTTATGAAGCTACAAATTATTTAGGTGCAAGTAACTATTGCACATATTCAGTCTTGGTTCCTATTTTAATTGATCTTAAAAACAGATATCAGCCTACAGATGATATTGAGATAGAAGATATTAATAATTATGATAATGACGACCAGGATATATTTGATGATACAAGTTATGATGAGGAGGAAGATGAGCAGGCTTATACACCAATTAATATAGACATCGATAAGATTAAAAGTAATTTGTATAATGCAATAAACTACTATTGGTCTAATTTAACAATACCTAAATTACTTTTACCTAGTCTTTTGGATCCTAGATGTAAAAATCTATCGTTCGTCACATTCACGGAACGGTTTGCTACTGAAAATCTACTTCGTGAAGAATATAATAGAATAAATAATTTAGATAAAGAAAATGTAGTTAGAATGGAGATTCATACAAAAAAACATAATACTAAAGGTAGCATCCTTTCCATTTTTAAAAAGCATACGCCAACTATAATTGAAGAGATTTCAGAGTATTTAAAGTCTAAGGAGATTGATTTTGAATGTGATCCTTTAGAGTGGTGACATGAACGACGTAATAAATTCCCAGTTATGAGCAGACTAGTAAAAAAATACTTAGCTGTTTTTGCATCTTCAATGGCTAGCGAAAGGCTTTTCTTAAACGCAGAAAATCTAATAACTGCAAAGAGAACTCGTATAAGTCCTAAATTATTTAAACGATTAATATTTTTAAAAAAAAATGAAAAACACTTAGATAGCATTTATTCATCTTAATCTTTATACTGTATTAGAAGTATATATATTACTGGTAAAATATTGATATATAGACTGGTATTATAATATTAAAATAGACTACGTAGTATTACGTACGTATAATATTGAAATAGACTACATATATTATAATATTAAAATAGTTAGTAAAACTTTTTATATATGTACGTGTATACACATTACTATTACATGAGATTTTTTTATAAATTTAATTCTTGATTTACGTTCGAATTTTTACCTACTTTTTTATTACCCTGAGTGTGTGAAATTTTTCTATAATTTCAACATAATTTGAACCAACTATAAAATTTATATTGAACAACTAATTTTACTAATATTAATTAATTTCAACAATTTTGATAATTTTTTTTATAATGAACTTCTACAAACAATTATAGTGATTTAGCTCTGCTTAATCCTAATACAGGTATATGATTTAGTATGAAAAATTTATAGATAAGTATATTATTATTATTCTCTATGAAGGTTTAGAATTTTTAAATATAATTAATTGATATTTTTTTAAGTTGTTAAACGATTTATCTTAAGTTGATACATCTCTGTAGTACTAGTTACTTATAGGATGCATTGTAATAAGACTTCTTAGTGCTAATTGTAGCATATTGAATTTGAGATTAAAAACTTAGTTTTTGTTATTGAAGAGTCATTATATTCGAAACCTTCTGCTAAAATATATTCTCTTACTTGTAGAGGTTACACCCTACAAATATGGTAAAAAGGAGAGATATAAGAACTCTATAAGGATAAATAGGTAATTTTGATTAATTATTGGATATCTAAAGTGTTGTGCTATTAGAGATTGTATTTGTACCTTTAATCACTGGATTAGTATTCGCTTTTGTGCTTTAAGTTGCTGCAGTTTTAATTAATATCATTGTCTAATAATAGGAAGCAATACGAACTTAGTGGAATATTTAGTTTACTACAGTAGTAATAGTCACTGTCTAGATAGCCATTTTGTGAAGATATCTATATTAAAACAGTTTGGAAATTACTGTATTGTATCAAAATAATGCCCCAGGACGTTATTTCTAGTGGTTTAATTTAAAAAGAGTCAATAATTAACTTGATTGAAGATTTTTTTTTAACCTTTTATATTAAATAAATATTGAAGTTTAAAAAATTCTTCGGCTAAATTAATTATTAGCTCTCTTTAAATTGAGCCATTCGAAATAATGTCTCGGAGCATTATTTTGAGATAATACAGTAAATATGGGTTTGATAGGTCTCTAGTTTTGAAAGGCATCTTAGTTAATATTATAGCTGCTGAAAAGATTGAAATTGTTGGTCGAACTGGTAAATTTTATATTCAGTGTGAGAATTATTAAAATTCAAATAATAACTTAAATAATAGGATGTAAAAAATCAATGTTCATTTTTCATATTTACTGAAGAAACTTCTAGAAGTATTGTAATTGATGATATTAACATCAATACTATTTAACGTTACTGTTATATGATAAAAATCTGATATATAGACAAGTATGATATGTAATAAAATCAATATAATTTTCAATACATCTAGCAATTAATAATCTAAATTTGTAATCTAATTAGTATATTTGGACCAACTCCTATTCGTAGTTATATCTAAGTATATCATTTGGGATCTTTGCTAGGAAAATGACCTTCTGAGGCTATATGGAATTTTATAAATAAATTTAAATTTACTAGTGATCCAGCAATCCAATTTAAGTAAACTTTTTTTTATTTCATAGAGTTCACTAGACTCTATAAAATAAAAAAAAGTTTATTTGAATTAGATTACTAGATCGCTGGTAAACTTTAATTTTATTCATAAAATCCACATATCCTTAGAAGGTCATTTTCCTAGCAAAGATCCTATTTAGTATTATGAATAAGCGTTTTAAGTACGAATGTGTCTGCGATTAATTATTCAAATTAAAAGATCCCGACAAACACGTACTATAATTTTGGTGATTGGAATGATGGTTCTTAGTGGTCTATGAATCTTATACTTGGTAATAAATTATTTCAAAGCGTGCGTGAACAGATAGACAATTAATTGTATATTTTAATTGGTTAATTTCAGCATCTATATTAAGAGTCAAGATAGCTACTCCTTACTATATAAATACTGTAGTGAACTGAACTTTAACTGAAATATCCTCGTTTCGACTAGAAATCTGAAGCATCTTTTTGTAATATTATAGTAAGTACAGTTTTTACTAGATGAAACTATATTACTATATTTTTTAGTAGATTACAAATAAAGTTCAAATGCGTCATTTTTTGTCTCTTTTACAGGTGAACATTAGTTGAACTATTCAAGTTGTTAAAATAATTTGAGTGGCATACGGTATTCGAATTTTCTGATCTTAGGAATTTGCTGAATAATATTGTACCGGAATGAACTTAATTTATATTATAAAATAATGTAGGCATTACAAGAAGCATCTAAATTATATTTATTTACTGAAGGTGGTAATTCAACGGCAATATAAATTTGGAATTACTATTAGGATCGCAAAATGGTTTGTATAAATATTCATATTTTTTCGCTTAGGCCATACAAAAGTAATTTTTTGGCTTTCATAACCCGGCCGGCTCAAATTTTGATAATTTATAATAATTACAACTGTTTTCATAATTTCTGGATCACCTACTCGTTATCCGAAATCTTTTTGGTCATCCAGTAAATTATCTAACTCTCCAGAAACTACATCGCTGTCTTCAGACCTTCAGTCCAGACGCAGCAAAGTAATTTCCGGAAAGCTAGATAATTTACCGGATGACCAAAAAGATTTCAGATAACGAGTAGATGTTTCAGAAATTATGGAAATAGCTGTAATATTATAAAACTAAAAAAAAACCAGCAACCAGATTTTACAGCTGTTATCATTATTTCTGGGACAGCTGATAAGTTTTGCTCGCTACCAAATCATTCTCAGTTTCATCTGGTTAATTGCCTAATCTCTCGTCATTGTCTTCAGATTGAGGATCCGAAGACAGTGATATGGTTTCCGAGAGATTAGGCAATTTATCGGATGAAACTGAGATGATTCGGTAACGAGCAAAACTTATCAGGTGTCTCAGAAATAATGATAACAGCTATAACATTACAAACCGAAATTAATTAATTTTGGGTGTCCTTATTTCTAATTTATACTTATATATAGCTAATAATCTTTTGATTTTTTATTTA